TAATTTGTACATCATATGCTTGTTTGATTGTAATCTGAATTTCCTTGTTGAGTTTTCTGAATAGTCTGTAAAATATCTTTAAAAACAATAAAATTATAAGAAAACGTAGATGTTAAAATGCATAAAAATGCAATATGAAACTACAATCGCTTGTTAACTTGACTCTGATGTTTACTGAAAGAGCTTGTTTTGGAGACACTACCAAACCCCTTTCAGATAACGAAATCATAAGGACAGAATTTATTCTAATTTTTTCACTTATTCATTCATACACAAGTGTCAGCACTCAATATAGTGTAAACAGTGCCAGCTTGAATATCTGGACACAATGTTTTTAAAGATTAAAATGGGGCTGTTAGTCATTTTTTAAAGAAATATTATACCTCAGTCTGTTGTGATGACTAATATCCCGTTAACCACATTACCCACATATGTGAAATTTTGGATATGGCTTGCTAATAATTCATTCAAAATAAAATGGAAGCTTTTCTAACATTGGACATCGAGAATGTAGGCCGACTACTGGGACGCTCCTCGTACCTCTCATCTATTTGTAGCGACCATGAAAATTATCCAAAGTCGGACGTCTTGTCCACATGATCAAACAGATTAACCCCGTCAGCAAGCTGGCAAGGTAAGATATCATCTGAGGGATGACTTCTCGCCCTGCAGCATATTCAATAAGTAATGACTTGAAAAATATATATAAATATCACACGGTCGCTATGTTCAGAGAAGGTTGTTAGGACGTAATGTTCTAAAGTGGCACATTTCTTAAGTCTCCGGTACTTAATCGAATGAACATACCTTTGTTGATGACCGATCGTATATGTATTGAAACCTTCCACTGTCATACTTCCTTCAGAAAACTTCGAGAACCCACGTTTGCGATCTTAAAGGGAATTACTAGAGCGTGGCGATAGCTGGAAAGAAAACTGTAGGTCGTGTCTTGTGAAGTGCGTCTGACCTTGCCATTGGACACGCACAGGTGAGCATTATTGCCCTACTTAGCTCACCTATATATGTCATTCTATTAACACACGACCCCCTCCGTGGTGTAGTGGTTAGAGCGTTCGCCCAGGGAGCGGAAGGTCGCGGGTTCGATCCCCGACCGCGTCATACCAAAAGACGTTAAAATATGGTACTTGTTGGTCCCTGCCTGGCGCTTGGCATTAATGGGTACAACAAGGACTGGTCGGCTCGGAGTCAGTATCTCAGTGGGCTAGCACTATAAAACCAGCTTCAGTCTGGGCTAGTACAAGCAGCCGCACCTACACATACACACGCATGCACGTCGTCATATGAGCGAAATATTCTGAAGTACGACGTTAAACCCAATTTCACCTCACCTCACGTATTAACACACACTCACAAATACATACATACTCACGTACACCCACGTATGCAGGCATTCGCGCACACATACACTCAACGTCAAAAGAAACGTTACCCTCCTTCCTTAATGACGGAGGTAGCTATCTTCAACTGGCATTGAGATGCGTGGACGTCCACTTCTTGGTCTCTCTACGGTGATCCCAGTCTGTCTGAAGCCCTGAATAAGTTTCATAACCGTGATACGGTGGCATCCGAGGGCGTTGGCAACAGCGTTGTATGTCGACCCCATCTGCACCGTCCCAATGGCGCTTTCTCTCTCTTCAGCTGTTAATCGTGTCATATTTCTCGTACTTGTGTATCATATCATCTTTTCTAGGCTCTCTTCATACCCTATATAATCATTCTTCATGTGAAATGGATGCAAATACCGCTTGTATATTGCTGCGTTTTGGCGATTGATATTGTTTATGTGTAAACAGAAAATGGGAAAATGTTACTTTGCAAGCAAACAGGTTAACAAAGATAATTTTATTATTGTTTTAGGATATTTATACAGCGCACATATCCACGCAACCATTGCTTGCTCAAGGAGCTGGTATTTGTTTCCCTCGATCACCGGATGTCAATCTCAACGTCATATCGTGTTATCAATCTCAACTCCCTGGGGAGTATACAACTCTTGCTGCCACTAAGCTTTCTCATCCTAACGAGGTACCCAATTCACAGCTGGGTGGACTGGGACACATAGTCACAGTATTTTGTCCAAGTTTACTGCACGTTGCTGTACCCGTAACTAGGTGTTTGCACGTATGCATGTGGCCACCATCTGGCCATATACCAACGGATTCGTGGGTTCTTTTAAGTGCACAGGGTTGTGTACTGTACACTAGGGGTTATGACAACCTGGAAAGAGTCTGCACACAAGTTGACTCCAAGGTTTTTTACACCCGGTCACAGGTGGGCTCGATCCCGACACCTTCAACCTCGCTGGATCTCTAGCCTGGCGCTTTAGCCAGCTCGCCCACCGCGCCCCCATTTTAGATGTTCCTAAACATTTTTTCACAATATCAAAGACACGTTTTACTTATTTTCACTAATGCAAATCAGCAGAAAATGTTTTAAAAGACTGAAATCATAGGAATGATTATTTTACACTTTTACACCCTCTACAACAGTTGTTTCTTGTTTCAATAGTTGAAAAATGGTGACTCTGAATGGGTTATATTTGTCCCAAAGCAAAATTTTATTTCAACCTTTCATTTGGACATCTAAATCACTGTTATTGGTTTATTTCGGCATGGGCGAAAATAGGACAATTTAAATCTTCTGAAAAAAATGCTTTTCACCTAAATATGAATGCATTTGAGAATTATGTTTTCGTGATTTGCATAAAGCTGTGTTGTTCAGCTTTCTTGTAAACTAATACCTTCTAACATATCTTTGATAGTTTTTAAATAATTCTTAAAGGTAGTAGGGTAACGTTTCTTTTGGCGTGAGTGTATATATAAAGTGGGACAGAGAGAGGTGGGGGGAGGGAGGGAGAGAGCAGGGCAGACACAGTTTTTTGAGTGAGTGAATGAGTGAGTAGCAAAATTCCAGCAATATCACGGCGGGGGACACAGAAATGGGCGCCACCCATTGTACCCATGTGTGGAAACTACACTGTAAAACTTTACCGTTAATTTTTACGGTAAAAGTTTGGCAGCCATGCTGCCGGTAAAAACTCAGTAGCTTTACGGGATACCGTAATAAATTCATACCGTAAAATATACGGTAAAACTCTGGCAGCCATGCTGCCGGTACAAAACCAGTAGCTTTACGGGATACCGTAATAATTCATACCGTAAAATATACGGTAATAGTTTGGCAGCCGTGCTGCCGGTACAAAACCAGTAGCTTTACGGTGTACCGAATGTATTCATACCGTAAAATATACGATGAAATTGTTGCAGCCGGTAGAATTCCTGTGCATGTATAGCCAAATAAAGTAATAACCATTTACTGAGGTTACCTGCACATAACAGCTGAAAGGCAACAGCATTGGAATGTTAGCTACAACATGGGAACTATATCTATAATTGTCTTGCTTTTAATGCTGCGAACATATGCTATTCAAATAAAAAGAATACAACTGTGTTAGATGAATCTTTGAACCAGATGATTCAGATTTTATTGTTTTCAGTGTGAAGCTGGTCTTTTCTTACATCATCAGAGTTAGTATAACGATGTTAACCTAAGTTGGCATAGTATATGCTGTATACAGCTATACCCCCTCGTACTTTGTTTAAGCTGGGGGAAAGAGGCGACAAAATGATGTCCATTAACAGCAAACAAAAAAAGAAACATTTCCCTATGTCCTGATGACAATATAGGTCTCTAACAATATAACTAATCCACGTGGACTGATATAAACAGTGATCTGTCTGAAAACATTACATGAAACAGAAAACACTAAACGCAAACAGACTACCATTTCACTTTCTTCAAGATCAGCTTCAACCAATCTGTTGTCTGTTTGTATAGATATGCAGAGCTGTCCTTCATCTGTATTTGTATGTGTGTTATTTGCTTCAAGAACTGAATCTGATAACTCCGATAATGTGTGGTGCTTGTGCTTTCTACTTATATGAGATGAGAATGTTTATTTATGTACAATTTTGGTATTGCATGATCTAAATGGACAAACAATGGGATCCCTTCTGTCTAAATGCTGACGCAAATGTTTCAAGAGCTCCTCGATACGAGAGAATGTACTGTCACAAAAGCTTTGCCTACATACAAGATGCACATTCACATGTGACTGGCCATTTACTGACCTTGACTGACTCGTGTTTGTGTTGCGCCCATGATCATGCAGTACGTGTGCTCGAAACGCACTGTACGTGTGAAATTGTCTTACACAAAGCTCCTGACAACATGGAAACACAATGTTTGGTACGTTTCTGTGTAAACGATAATGTCTGACATACTGACGTAAGATAGAGGTCTCAAAAGTACATTCTTTGCAACGATACGTCATTACATTTGTCAAACACAAAAATACAGTTGGAAACAACAGAAAAGCTAAATAGTGAACATGTAAGTCCTTAATCTGCATACTCTAGACATCGTATAGTACAAATTACCAATAGATGAGTCTTGTGGCAGCTGATTCTGGAACGATTCGTCTTCGTGTAATCAAACCCAACGTAAAATGGCGGCGGCGTGGATGACAGTATCCCACAATGCTTTGGGGTTAAACGGTATTATACCGTCAGAATCATTCACTACAGTAAAATGCCGTATATGCCACAATGGTTTGGGGTTAAACGGCGTAATCCCGTAAATTATTGACGTTAACGGCATTGCACCGTGCCACTGTCATAACGTAATTCTACCGTCGCATTTTCACGTGATGTTACCGTATATTTTACGGCAAAGTTTTACAGTGTAGCTTCACGGGTCTCAGTGTTCAGTCTCTTAATCACCGGATTGTGTGGTTCAGACAGATATCATATGGCCGGAATATTGCTGAGCGTAAACAACTGACTCATCAGTGAATATTTTGACGAATTGTTCAGGTTTGTTTAACATTTGAAGGCACAATAAACACACAAATTACTAAGTTTACATAAATTAATATATTAATTTACATAAAAGAGCATCATAACATAACCCATTGAGAATCATCTGAGCAATTCCTCGGTCACACCACCCGTGTTGTCAGCGCGACCCTTTGTTGTATTGTGGCGGCGTAATTGTTTACACGTGTGTGTTACTTCATAAAGGAGAATGACAGCACCGCCTACGATGAACAACGACCCTGCGGCATAAAATGATATAGCGTAGTCTCCGGTCGCATCATACAGCCAACCTGAAACATTAAAAAAGGTTAGAGAGACCAAACACTCAAATCATCCAGTACAGATGATGATGATGATGATGATAACGACGACGACGAGGAGGACAATGAAGACTGTACAACTCTGAATCTATTAAGGGCGGTGGGGTAGCCTAGTGGTTAAAGCATGCGCTCGTCACGCCGAAGACCTGGGGTCGATTCCCCATATGAGTAAAATATGTGATGTCCATTTCTGGAGTCTTCCGCCGTGATATTGCTGGAATATTGATAAGCTGGCGTAAAACTAAAGTCACTCACTCACTCTGAATTTATTAAAGCAAGTTTCATATAAACGTCAATGCTTTCCTGTAACAGTTCTGGGTCTAGATTTTCGAAGCTCTCTTAGCGCTAAGATGGACGTAAGTGCCATTCATTAACATTAACTTACGACGATCTAAGCGTTTAGAGAGCTTCGAAAATCTAGACCCTGGTTCATACGTACAAATTCATCGTTGCCCGTTCGTCAGTCAGACCATCGATTGCTTGGGTCTTTTGTTGGTTTGTTGTTTAATGACACACTCAGCAATATAGCAGCTATATGACAGCTGTCTTTAAATAATCGATTCTGGACCAAACAATCCAGTGATCAACATCAAGAGCATCGGTCTACGCAAATGGAATACGATGACTTGTGCCAACCAAGTCAGCAAGCCTTACCACCCAATCCCGTTAGTCGCCTCTTACGACAAGCATGGGTTACTGAAGACCGATTCTAACACTAAAGTACTGTCGGAAGTAGAAAAAACCCTGTTTTTAGGCTGTTACTCTGTATCCCTAAAATTTACACAATTACAAATAACATATGTCGAATTAACCCACATCGGCCTAACTGAGCATTCAGTAGGATGCGTAGCAGGATATCCAGAAAATAATCGGGTAGAACTTAGAAAAACTACGAATAGCTGCTGAAAACAATAGATCAGACTATAGATGGCAATTATGTCGTTCAGCCAGGTATGACGACGGACCGTCGACTCACCTGGCATGAAATGCACTTGCTGCATACAGGCACAAGGGGTCATCTCAAAGATAGTTTATGCCTTTTCATGTGCGTTGTATATGTCTCATCTATTGATTAACATCTTACGTGTCTTTCATTCATGAAGTTGAGATATGTAAAAGAGTATGATACCCATGGAAAAGCTTAAATTAGCCATCTATTATTACGTGTCTAAAAATATATAGGTGACATGACCACCCGAAAATCGACAGGATTGGATATTATTTATAAATTGTTATGACATGCCGTTTACTTCCCCAGTTTAATTCCCCTAAAGGATTATCTCACCTTAGCGGATATCTCTATCCCCTAGCCCAACCCCCAACCCCCACCACCGTCTGCGACACCCGTCCTGGTTTTGCGTTTGAGACGACCCCTCCTTTCTTTTTATAGTGATAGTGAGACTCCATGGTAGCTGCATCCTTAATGGTTTGAGTTATTATTTTTTACGTCAGCTATCGTTTATAATGAAGCTAATTTTAATTTCAAAATCTGCATTTAAAAGTTTCCTTTGTAATACAATATCATCGCACACTAATTTGCATAAAGCCATGGTTTGTTCCAAATAAGTCGCTTTCGACTTAGAAAAAACCTGCATTGCTCATTTCTGCACTAATCTCTCCTCAGTAAAGTCCTTTTTCTACGTTTCCTTTCGCCCTACCACTGAGACTGTAGTTAGGCCGAACTTAGTTTAACAGATATTTCACATTTTCACATATTAGCTACATAAACTGTAGATATAAATGCGAAAAAACAGGGTTTTTTTCTATTTCCGACAGTACTTTAGTACGGAAGCGTAGTAGGGCCACGGTGAAAAAAAAATTTGGGGTCACTATCTCCTACGTAGGACTTAGTATCTCCTACGTAGGACTTACTTTCTCCTACGTAGGACTTACTATCTCCTACGTAGGACTTACTATCTCCTAGGTAGGACTTAGTATCTCTTACGTAGGACTTACTATCTCCTACGTAGGACTTACTATCTCCTACGTAGGACTTACTATCACCTACGTAGGACTTACTATCTCCTACGTAGCACTTAGTATCTCCTACGTAGGACTTAGTATCTCCTACGTAGGACTTAGTATCTCCTACGTAGGACTTACTTTCTCCTACGTAGGACTTAGTATGTCCTACGTAGGACTTAGTATCTCCTACGTAGGACTTAGTATCTCCTACGTAGCACTTAGTATCTCCTACGTAGGACTTAGTATCTCCTACATAGGACTTACTATCTCCTACGTAGGACTTAGTATCTCCTACGTAGGACTTAGTATCTCCTACGTAGGACTTAGTATCTCTTACGTAGGACTTAGTATCTCCTACGTAGGACTTACTTTCTCCTACGTAGGACTTACGTAGGACTTAGTATCTCCTACGTAGGACTTACTATCTCCTACGTAGGACTTACTATCTCCTACGTAGGACTTACTATCTCCTACGTAGCACTTACTATCTCCTACGTAGGACTTAGTATCTCCTACGTAGGACTTACGTAGGACTTAGTATCTCCTACGTAGGACTTAGTATCTCCTACGTAGGACTTAGTATCTCCTACGTAGCACTTACTATCTCCTACGTAGGACTTAGTATCTCCTACGTAGGACTTACTTTTTCCTACGTAGGACTTACGTAGGACTTAGTATCTCCTACGTAGGACTTAGTATCTCCTACGTAGCACTTACTATCTCCTACGTAGGACTTAGTATCTCCTACGTAGGACTTAGTATCTCCTACGTAGGACTTACTATCTCCTACGTAGGACTTAGTATGTCCTAGGTAGGACTTAGTATCTCCTACGTAGGACTTAGTATCTCCTACGTAGCACTTAGTATCTCCTACGTAGGACTTAGTATCTCCTACGTAGGACTTAATATATCCTTTTTAAGGATGGTCATTAAGTTGAGAAATGTTTGGCTATGCAGGACGTTAGATAGTCGAAATGTGACGCAGTGTTACTGTACAGTGTTATTGTGTGTGTATTACGTTAGGGTAACGTGGACCCTGTTCTAATTGCAGTTATGGAGGTTTGGGTATGGTTATGTTTAATCTATCATACATACATCTATTCACACACACAAGCACACACACACACAGAGAGGTGGGTGGGATGGTTGGGGTGAGGTTGTGATATGAAACTCGGGTTATAACACGGCCTCCGCAAGTTGTTGCTTGTCTTTATAGGGCTAGGTTGGATCGTATGCAACGCTCGTTTGCGGTTTGATTCGTAATTGTTTACAGGTTGACTTGACTGGGGTGGACAAGTGTTGAGTGTGGCGTAAAACAATACGAAATTCAAAAAGGCAAAGAATTGTCATTATAGTTAGTTGTATAAATATAAGGGGATACGTGCAAATAGATTGCCACCTATAGTCTAGGACACGTCTGTACACGCAGATTATAATTTATGTGCAACGACCTCTGAAATATCCAATGCGTAATAGTAAAGTGTAACAAAGTGCAACATATAACAGTGAACTAACTGCAACGCGTAATAGTAGAGCAACCTGAACGCAAGGCAGTAAAGTATAACAGTCGGTCCAACACAGTACTAATGTGAAACAATTAGTTGAACACATGACTCTGATAGTGAAGGAAACAGTAGACTCTAATAGTAAATTGAAACACATGATAGTAGACTCTAACAGTAAATGAAACACATAACTGTAGACTCTTACAGTGACTGAAACAGTGAAACAGGAGATTGTGTGCGTGTCTGGGGCTTTAAGTCGACCGTTTCAGATTTATCCATATAAACGTATATCGATCATCTCCTACAGGAAATATTAAGTACTATGTAGGAGATACTATGTCCTACGTAGGAGATACTATGTCCTACGTAGGAGATACTAAGTCCTACGTAGGAGATAGTAGGACCCAAAAAAATTTTCACTGTGGCCCTACTACGCTTCCGTACTTTAGTGTAGTAACGTCAGTGTACCCACCAGCTGTAGGCGATCCCAAGAAGATCCTACGTAGGAGATACTATGTCCTACGTAGGAGATACTAAGTCCTACGTAGGAGATACTAAGTCCTACGTAGGAGATACTAAGTCCTACGTAGGAGATACTAACTCCTACGTAGGAGATACTAAGTCCTACGTAGGAGTTAATAAGTCCTACGGAGGAGATACTAAGTCCTACGTAGGAGATACTAAGTCCTACGTAGGAGACAGTAAGACCAAAAAAAATTTTCACTGTGGCCCTACTACGCTTCCGTACTTTAGTGTAGTAACGTCAGTGTACCCACCAGCTGTAGGCGATCCCAAGAAGATAACGACTCCTTCCAAAAAGAACAGGCAGCCAAGTCCCTCAGTGAGTTTCTCGTCGCCAACAATGTCCGCCACAGCCACTGGGTGAACGTACAACCAGATACCTGAACAGAAACACGGTAATTCAGTCTCGTGTCAATCTTATCAATCTAGTGATATGGTTTCACGCCGCTTTTAGCAATATTTCAGCAATATCACGCCGGGAGACACAAGAAATGGTCTTCACAAATTGTACCCATGTGGGGAATCGAACCTGGGTCTTCACGAGCGGACGCTGTAACTACTACGATCACAGAACATGTCATTATTGCATGTATACAAACCTAAGAATATCCCATAAAACACTGAATACGACATCAGTGTCGGGAACGACTGCAACTTCGGACACGTCATGGTAGCAACACCACACAGAATACTGGCTGAAGCGAGGAAAGCCACTCTGTTGACACAAGGGATATCGGATATCCGACCAAATACCAAGCGTCCGACCATGCCTGATATCCCGATGGTTGATATCAGCCACGTTGATGTATCTTCTGGGATCTCTAGACCATTCGCCAAGTCCGGGAGATGGTTAAACGGAATTGCGTAAACAAAAGACCCGAGGACTGCTCCAACGACATAGATGGTGAATCTCATGATAGTGAACGTTGACAGAATGGAATTCACTTTTATCCAGAAAGCTGCCAGACAGCTAGCCTTGGTTGTTTCCCTTTGGTCTCCATCGAAAATGAAATAAAACAAAAGCTATATTGAGAGTCCTGGAGTGAGTTAGTGAGTGAGTGAGTGATTTACGCCGCACTCAGCAATATTCCAGCTATATGGTGGCGGTCTGTAAATAATCGAGTCTGGACCAGACAATCCAGTGGTGACAAATGCTCGGGAGGTCAAGGAAAGAAGCAAGTGGTGACGAATGCTGGGGAGGCTATTGAAAATGGAGAGTAGTGACGAATGCTTGGGAGGTAAAGGGGTGACTGGTGACGAATGCGGGGCGAGTCTTCTTGCAGATTACGGGAAGTCTTGTGGTTACGGAAGCCTGGAGCTTGGGGCGAGTGGTGACGAATACTTGGGAGGTTACGGAAAGGGGCGAGTGGTGACGAATGCTTGGGAAGTTACGGAAAGGGGCGAGTGGTGACGAATGCTTGTGAGGTTACGGAAAGAGGCGAGTGGTGACGAATGCTTGGGAGGTTACGGAAAGGGGCGAGTGGTGACGAATGCTTGGGAAGTTACGGAAAGAGGAGAGTGGTGACGAATGCTTGTGAGGTTACGAAAAGGGGCGAGTGGTGATGAATACTTGGGAAGTTACGGAAAGGGGCGAGTGGTGACTAATGCTTGGGAGGGTTACGGAAAGGGGCGAGTGGTGACGAATGCTTGGGAGGGTTACGGAAAGGGGCGAGTGGTGACGAATGCTTGGGAAGTTACGGAAAGGGGAGAGTGGTGACGAATGCCTGGGAGGTTACGGAAAGAGGCGAGTGGTGACGAATTATGTCCAACTGTTGGATTCCTACCTGATTTCCTTGTTTCTGTTTTCAGATCACTCAGTTCCTGCTTGGAGTAAAATGGCTTGAAAAGTGTCCCGAACACAGCACAGTTGAGGACGAGCCCACCTGTAATCAACAACGCTCCCCTCCAAGTGTACTCCGACATCATCACCTGTAGGAGAGGGGGGAGAACCAGCGTCCCCACCCCTCCTCCTAGAGACCCTAGGGCGTTGGCCAGGGACCGTCTTTTCACAAAGTACTGGTTCACGATGACCGTGGCTGTGATAAACATCAAGTTGAAGCCAAGGCCTAGAGAATGATAAGGATATAGGTAATGGAAAGTAATTTACATAATAAACATAGTAACAATCAGAAGTATGATATTTGGTCACAACTGGGGATTATTGTTTTCTTAGATGAATTTCACACATCAAAGTGCTATGGGGTGGCCTAGTGGTTAAAGCGTTCGCTTTTCACGCCGAAGATCCGGTTCGATTCCCCACATGGATACAATCTGTGAAGCCCATTTCTGGTGTCCCCTGCCGTGATATTCCTGGAATATTGCTAAAAGCGGCGTAAAATCAAACTCTCACTCACTCACTCACTCATTCAACTACAATTAATAAACACAGATATGTTCGACAGTTAGTCTAATAAATAAAATGGAACACAAAGCAATAATAAGTCAAGACCGTTGTCACTTCTTAAACTCCCTCTACGTCTCTGACCTTACCTTGGATGACACCATAACTGAAATACAGGAAGATGAGACTCTCGGCCAGGAAACTGACACTGCAGCCTACACAGGCCAGCACAGCCCCCAGTATAGCTGTCACGCGAGTCCCCAGCAGGTCCAGGACAACCACTCCCACAGGGCCTGGAATCACATTGATATTCGTGCATTGTAGAGTGAACAATTAAAGGGCATCCTGCATTTTCAGTGAACAATTTTAGGACATCCTGTATGTTCAATGAACGTGTAAGTACGCCCTACATGTCCTCTAAACAATTTAGAAACATAAAACATGTCGCATGAACATTTGATGACTCCATGCATGTCGTCTCAACACCTACGGGCATCTAACATATCATATGACTTCCAAGATTTCCAGTGGACAATTTGAGGACTTTTGCGTATCCTTTAGGCAATTTAAGGACATCTAGCGTATCCAATGTCCTGGGACATATCACAGCAAATTAGCATGCCATGTGACCATTTTGACATCCATGCATTTCCAGTGGTCAACTAAAGGACTTTTGTGTATCCTGTAGACAATGTAAGGACATATCCAAAGAAAAGCCAAGGGCATCCTGCATGTCCAGTTTGCTATTTGAGGGCATCCATCATGTCCTGGGACCTGTTTCAGCAAATTTAATATGTCCTGTGAACAATTTAATGACATCCGGCAAACATTTGTTCTGGAACAAAGTGGTTGTACCTTTCAATATTAGTCTCCACACAATATTATGGTAGGTTCCTTTGTCAACAACACTTGTTTGCCTTAAGAGGTATGTAACGGGATCTGGTGGTCAGGCTCCTTTTTGTATTAGCCTTAGCGGCGTGTAAATGAGTACGGGTGTTTTATCACAGTAGAACTGACAAGATCCTGTTTAACCGAGGATGGAGCAACAGCTGTAACAGCTTACCAAGCAGTAGGACGAGTCCGCTGAGAAGAGATCCAATCCAGGCAGTCTCACCACGAGAACTGTTAAATTGATCCAGAAGCTCCACGTATATAACGCCGAAAGACTGCATGAGTCCAATCACAATGAAGTGGATGTAGAACGAGCCCACCACACACACCCACGCCCATCCAGCATCCTTCTGGCGAGTCATGGATGAAGATTTTAAATATCGGCAGTGCTGTCAGAAAGATTAAGAGTTAGAGTGTATCAATATACTTACGGCAGCCAATCCAGCATCCTTCCGGCGTGTTATGGATGAAGATTTTATATATTAGCAGAGGTGCAACAAAGAATACATGTCCGTAAATAGGGGCATCACCATGCACACCCTAGATCATCCTGCATACTTCTGGCGAGTCATGGATGAAGATTTTAAATATCGGCAGTGCTGTCAGAAAGATTAAGAGTTAGAGTGTATCAATATACTTACGGCAGCCAATCCAGCATCCTTCCGGCGTGTTATGGATGAAGATTTTATATATTAGCAGAGGTGCAACAAAGAATACATGTCCGTAAATAGGGGCATCACCATGCACACCCTAGATCATCCTGCATACTTCTGGCGAAGTAGCAATCGGAAAAACTGTCTGAATGAATGTTTATTGGGTGTATCACCATGCGCACCCAAATTTATCAAGCTACCTTTGTCGCCAGAATTATTCGCAAGGATAAATTTAAGTTTCTATTTATGCATCATCACGCACAACCACTCCTAGTCCGTGTCCTTCTGGTGAATCACACTCACGTCTGAGAACTCCTCCCCAATCGCCTTGCATATTCGTAAGCTCGAAGGTAGAGGTCACAAGATCATCCAAACCGAAACATGAGTCTCATTAACCTATTCAGACAATGACCTACTTTTCAGCCGATCCGAAATTTCTCGTGTGAAAGTGAAAATAGACATCATAAACAACTATGGTTACACTGCATTCCAATTCCTTGTTTCATAAGAAAATGGTATTTACAAATTGATTTTAATTTTAAACTTTAATAACATCGTATTTCTATATTTTATGGGCACCCATGACGGGCCACCTCCTCGTGGTGGGTGCTGGGTAACGCTAAGCGCCCTTCGAACCCCCGTTGTGGACCCGGGGGGATATTTGGTCCACCAACCCGTTTGCCGTGGGTTGCGCCCCTGTGTCGGTGGAGGAAGGGAGTCTGGTGGTTGAGGGCACTGGTTCCAGGAACAGTGTTCCTTTGCCCAACACACCACTTCGGCCCTAACTTCACCTATACGGGTGGTAGAATGGGCCCGGTTCTACCAATCGGCTGGTCATGTCGAGGCCTGTGCATTAAATTGTATCTGCACAAAATTTATATTATGTATTACATTTTTGACTTTACGTCTTGACGCATTTTTGTTTATAAATCATCACTTGATTTTGAAATAAGTACTATTTAAATTGCCTAGAGTCTGATGCCCAGAAGATTGATTACTTGTTTAATCTTTCTGCTTGAGTATATCATCCCAGTATCCTTGGTGCTACAAGTCGGCGGTCCACTTGTATATAGCACCGTCTTTTATGACACTCCGTGGTGGGTCGGGAGCTGGGTTGATGAATCTTTTATACATTAACATGGAACCTGAAACCCCCCTGAGAAAAAAACGTCAGCTTGATAATGATCAAAGCACAAATGATAGTTATAGACCATTGACACAGGTAGACTACTGGCCAAGATTTCTAGTGATAGAATCTCCAGACAAAAAGCCAATTAAACTCAATCCGTTTGCTGTATCTAAAGCAGTGTATGGTATTGCAGGAGACGTTAAAAATATCAAGCGAATGAGATCTGGGTCGTTGCTCATTGAATGTAGTAAACGACATCAAGCAGCCAACCTGCAGTCAATTGATACTTTGGCTGGATTCCCTGTTTCAGTGTCAATCCATCGTACACTGAATTCAAGTAAAGGCATAGTCAGGGATCGAGATCATCTTTTGGAGGACATGACGGAGCTTGACATCATGCTTGAACTCAAAGATCAAGGTGTTACGTACGTGAAACGTTTTACGAGGCGTAAGAATTCAGAAGTGATTCCAACAAACACATATTTGTTTTCATTTGTCTCCAACGGCACCAAAATCAATCAAAGCCGGGTATTGCAATCTTCAAGTTGAATTGTATATTCCAAATCCATTGAGGTGTTTTAAATGCCAGAAATTTGGTCATGGGATAAATTCTTGTTCAAACCCTATAACTTGTGCTCATTGTTGGGAGCAATCTCATGTCACAGAAGACTGTACAAACAACTTTAAAAAAATGTGTCAATTGTTCAGGACAGCATTCCTCCTCATCAAAAGATTGCCCGGTATGGAAGAGGGAAATGGAAGTCAATAAAATAAAACATTCTCAAAACATCAGCTATGCTGAAGCTAAGAAACTTGTTCCATCTGTTTACCCAAGTAACTCTTATGCTTCTGTTATTAAAAAGACCACTCACGACCACAGCCTCAGTTGAATGTCAAACAGAGCTGACATGGATAAAATCTTCTACTCGTGAACCCATCCCAAATCAAGACTTGTTGACACGAGGAGAATCTGCTACCCAGACGGCAGACGTGTTACAAGCTACAGTGACGTCCTCTCAACCTCAGTCTATGCCTTCTTCACAGAAGGATTCTGCTTGTCCAAAGACTCAACCAGATAAAGGGAAGTCCTCCGGTACAACCGTTCATTCAAAATCCAAATCACATTCGTGTCCATCTAAATCTGTCCATGGAACTCAAGTTACGCAAACTGTGAAAGGAAATCAAAAACTAAATAGAATCAACCATAGCGATAGAATCGCTAAAGGTTCAAAAGATGACATCCAGCTTTTTAACAAGTATGGGTCTCTCGAAGACATGGATACATCCGAACTTATCCATCATCGGTCAGGGAGTTCATCGCCTTCTAAATCAAGGCGTGGTAGATCGCCAATAAGTGCACCCAAATCATGAATCATTCACAAAATATATTACAGTGGAATTGTAGAGGGTTAAGGACTAACTTTAATGAATTGCAGCTTTTAGTCCAAGATTTGTCACCACGAGCATTTTGTCTGCAGGAAACATATCTGAAACAGACAGATACGTTTAATCTACGTCAGTACTTTGCATATCATTCCTTCTCACCTCCGGGTGATAGAGCCACTGGTGGATCATCAATCCTTGTTAAGCAGAATGTTATTCACAGCCCTGTCCCACTTACAACTAATCTTCAAGCCGTTGCAGTGAGACTTACACTTCATGTTGTCTTTACATTATGCTCACTGTACATTCCGCCTTCTTCAACACTTCACCTGACTGATCTTCAAGCTCTCTATCATCAACTTCCGAAACCCTGCATTATCATGGGTGATCTTAATGGCCATAATCCGCTCTGGGGTGGTACAAATACTAACACTAAAGGCAAAATCCTGGAAGATTTTATCTCAAAAAATGACATGTGCAAATTTAATGATGATTCAAGCACGTATCTGCATCCTGCAACAGGCACCTACTCTTCTCTGGATTTGTCTCTTTCAGACTCAAATCTACTTAATGAATTTGATTGGTCAGTACACAACGACCTCTGTGGCAGTGTTCACTTTCCCACGACACTATCAGAAACTTATCCAACTGATTCTCCATCTATTACAAGATGGAATTTTTCGAAGGCAGACTGGCCTTTATTTCAAACTTTATGCACATCTAAACTAAGACCCGAATGTTTCAGTGATATTGCTGATCCTATTCAGGTATTTTCTGACGTTTTAAATGTAATAGCTGATGAGTGTATACCAAAGCCTCTACAACTCCACATGTGCGAAAGCCATGGTTTAATACAGACTGTGAAAATGCTAGAAAAGCGAGGAAAAAGGCAGAGAAATATTTCCACCATCACCCAACTGTCCACAACTTAAATCAATGTAAAATGCGCAATGCGAAGGCACGTCGCACCTTCAAACAAAATAAACGGCAATCTTGGAGGAACTATGTCTCCAAAATTAACTCACGTACGTCAATGTCTAAGGTATGGAACATGGTTCAAAGAATTAAAGGCAAAGGATCAAAATCTGCTGTTCACCATCTTAAAGATGGTGATAATTTAATTACTGACAAGTCTCAAATTGCAGATAAAATTGGCAAAACTCTTGCCAAAAATTCTTCATCGGCAAATTATGTCCCTGAGTTTCAGAGATATCAGAAACAACAGGAAAAGACCAAAGTTAATTTTGAATCAAATAATGGTGAAGACTATAATGAACTGTTTTCATTACATGAGCTATATACAGCTCTTGAGCAAGCTCATGACACTGCAGCGGGTGATGACAACATTCATTACCAGCTACTGAAACACTTGCCTGAGCCATGTCTGGTCACACTTTTAGATTTATTTGACAAAATATGGACGTCGGGAACTTGTCCTCCCTCGTGGCGTAATGCCATTGTAGTCCCCATTCCAAAACCTGGCAAGGATCATACAGATCCGTCGAATTACAGACCAATATCTCCAACTAGCTGTGTCTGTAAAACCATGGAACGTATGGTGAATAATAGATTAACTTGGTATCTTGAAACCAATAACCTTATAACAAATATTCAATGTGGTTTCAGGAAAAATCGTAGTACCATTGATCATTTGGTACGTTTAGAATCCTTTGTTAAGAATGCTATAGTAAATAAACAACATGCTGTATCCATTTTCTTTGATCTTGAGAAAGCCTATGATACGACATGGAAGCATGGCATTTTGAAGGATTTACATGATTTTGGTTTGAGGGGCCGGTTGCCTGTTTTTATATCACAGTTTTTAAAAGACAGACAATTTCAAGTCCGAGTGGGTACAACCCTGTCTGATCATTACAATCAGGATCAGGGTGTCCCTCAAGGCAGTATTTTGTCTGTCACTTTATTTAGTATCAAGATTAACAGTTTATCCAAGGTTTTAAACGATTCAATTGATGGATCACTTTTTGTGGATGATTTTAATATTTCTTGTCGCGGAATATGCATACTATTGAACGGCAACTGCAGTTATGTTTAAATAAAATAAATAAATCGTGTCTTGAAAACGGCTTTAAATTTTCCAAGTCAAAAACTAATTGTCTACACTTTTGTAGAAAATATAAGCCTCATAAGGATCCAGAACTATCTTTAAATGGCACGCCAATCAAAGTTGTAAAGGAGGCCAGGTTCTTGGGCCTTATTTTGGACTCACATTTAACTTTTTTGCCGCATATTAAATCCCTTAAAGCCAAATGCCTGAAGGCACTCGATTTGTTGAAAGGTGTTTCAAACTCAAAGTGGGGAGGGGATCAAACTACCCTCCTCCACCTATATCGATCATTGGTTCGCTCACAGCTTGATTATGGTTCTATCGTATATGGTGGCGCCTGCAAAAGCAACCTAAAATTACTTGATTCTGTCCACCACCAAGGTCTACGACTTTGTCTTGGGTCCTTTAGAACCTCTCCTGTCGACAGTATCTACGTCGAGGCTGATGAGCCATCTCTTATACAACGCCGTATAAAATTGTCCTTGCAATATATAACAAAACTTTATTCTAACGAGTCTAATCCTGTATTTAACTGCGTCTTTACTCCTCTCTATGAGGATTTGTACAACAAAAAGCCTTCTCTTGTTCCGCCTCTTGGTTTAAGAATTAAGCCATTTCTGTTTGCTGCCGGCATTGAGCTGGAAAATATAGCTCATTCCCGTCTTCTTTCTTCTCCTCCTTGGCAATTGGTGAGGCCTGTAGTTGACCTCACTCTGACAAGGTTTAAGAAATCTCAAACTAATGAATTAACATATAAACAAGAATATAATCAATTAAAAAATTAATATAATACATACAAATCCTTATTTACAGATGGGTCCAAGGATGGTGGCGCGGTGGCTTGTGCCACTGTCATTGGATCCAGAACAATCTCCTCTCGTTTACCAGATAACAGCTCTATTTTTACAGCAGAAGCAAACGCCATCTTAACAGCTTTAAAATATGTTCAAAAACACCCTAAATATCAACAATATATCGTCTTTTCTGACTCACTTTCTTGCCTTCAGGCTATTAGGAATATTTCTTGTAAACATCCACTTTTATTAGAAATTATTGAATTGTATAATGAGCTTGCTACTGGCCAATGCGACATCGTCTTTTGTTGGTTACCCAGCCACGTTGGCATTTCTGGGAACACAATGGCTGATCTTGCTGCTAAGGCAGCACTCAACAAATCTGTGACACCACTTCTGATCCCATACTCTGATTACAAAGCTTGCATTAGAACTTACATCCGTGATCTGATGCAGAAGTGGGACACCCAAGTAGATATCAATAAATTACACGAAATAAAACCCTATATCGGTTACACTTATTTGAGTTGTCAGTCCAGATTTGAGGAGGTCATCATGCGACGATGTCGCATTGGCCACAGCAGATACACTCATGCGTACCTATTGAAACGTGAGGATCCTCCGTTTTGTATCCCCTGTGATGAGAGAACCACGGTTAAGCATGTCCTGCTTGAATGTGTTGAATTCTCCATCATAAGGGATAAATATTTTAATGTTAAAACTGTTAAGGATCTTTTTAGTACTGTTCATCTTCATTTAATTCTTGCTTTTTTTAAAGAAATTGATTTAATTAATGAATTTTGATAAATATGTTCTGTACATATATGTATTTTAATTATTGGTAGATTTGATTAGTAACTTAGATTGTTAGTGGCTGTACCCTCATAGGGGGTTGAAGTATTGTAAAATTATTGTCCTCCTGAGAGGGTACGTAAGTCCCAAAACATTTCAAGTACATTTAAGTATACCAGGTGTTTTAATCGTAGTATTTTTGTCATTTTAATGTATGGCTAATTATCGGTATAAACGCCAATGGCTGAAGGGATGGTGTAAATCCAGCTAGGGTCCATGCAGTTTGCAAAGGTAATGTAAGTCACCATGGGCCTTAGTATGGTGATCTACCTTCAGTTGGTGGCGATCTATAGCCCATTTTTACATTGTATTGTCTTCTTTAATTGGAATATTTTAGCTTTGTTCGCTAGTTTTATATTCATATCTGTGATTATCTAGTATTTTTACTGTCCTTCGTAGGCAGGTTTTTATAATATCTATATATATTCTATTTCAATGTCAAATGTTCTCGTCACGATATGGCTGAAATATTGCCGATGTGACGTTAAATTTTAACTCACTCACTCACTCTATATTTTATGGCGAGGTGTAGGCAGCATGACCTTAACTAAGACGTCACAGACTGCTCCAGTTTGATGAGGTCGTAAAATGATTCACAATGCACCTGTTTTGTGCGCTTATTCAGTGTAGTTCTGTAACGCACAATGTGATTGATATATAATCAAGTCTGTACCAGACCGCCAAACTTTTCTTGCGGGAGAGCCTCGTTTTGAGATTTCCACGATTTCCAGGTTTCCGTTTTTCAGAGATCGCTGTACGACAGAGCAAGCTGCCTGACGTGTTTGCAAGGATTAGAAGCAGCGTAATGTTGCAATATACAAGTGCTTAGATGTATCAAATACTACTGATTAATATTTATGTATCCAGTTCTCGACTAGTTATTGTACTAAGTTGCGTAATAGGACGGGACCCAGTCAACAGGAAACGAGACTGTTGTGTAATCAATGTTTTGACTTGTTTTCAATGTTTAAGACAACGCGTGTCGTGCCTTCAAACTACTACTGCTAGTAATAATAGCACAACATCTGCTTCGGCAATTAAAACCTTCAGTCGTTAGCCATATAGTACAATAAGGTTTGCACTCAAATACACTTGTCGAGTAGGTTGAAACTCTGATCCACTTCGCAATGTTAGTTAAGGTTTTCCAAGTTGCAAAACAAATTCGATAGGAGATGGGTGTGTGTTCCGATCACGGATGTGTAATTTTGTCAAGCGTTCTGGCATTAGGTATATTGCGATAGTCCAGCTACATTTAGTACAGCAAGATATCATTTCACGGGCAGAAGCAAGGCTTAGACAAGGGAAGTGGACAGTTTTGTCTTCGAAAGATGCATCAACACTGAGAAGAGGCACGATGAGGGTCTTGCAACTTAAACGGCAACCTTTCAAACAGCATTTTCTATGTGTTATTACAATCTCAGGAACATTAGGGGAGCAATCTGAATTAACATTAGAAAATAAGGTCGATACAGCTAACACATAATGTTAAAATGAGAAAATATACTATTCAAAGAAAGAAACGCATAACCCAGACATATGTTGCTAAAATGTTGTATTTTCAAAAACTGTATAACTCGTCCACAAATAGACGTTAGTACATGAATTTTTATATCAGTTTAGAAGAAGGAAATGTCTATACAACCAAGTGGATAATTTTAGATAACAGAGATGTTGAGCGCGATGGTGACGACGTAGCACGGTCCCGACGTCGGGTCTCCTGGCTCTCAATCCAATCTCTCTCAATCTGTTCCGTACAGTTTGATCGGATATCCTGAAGTGCAGGCACCCTGGCTGCTGTGCTCTCACCCGTGGCAGCATGATCACGCAAATGTAGTACCCGGATGTACAGATCTTGGGCTGCAGTGGTGACTCGAGGTCTACCTGTACGGGGACGGTCATTTGTTATACCTGTTATACCTGTTTGCAAGCCGTGATATCGTGCTCAGTCTAACATTCAGACGCCTGGCAACTGAAGATTGATAATCCCCAGCGTGCATTCTTTCAATGGCGATGTTCCGCGTCGCAGCGTCAAGACGTGGCGCAGTAATTTGACCTTGAAACTCCTTCAAAACGAATGCCGATTTCCGAAAGTAATTTGGAGTTTTATAGCCAGACAGTGCATGCTCTTTGCTGCACAATTTCAACTGGTAGGTGATTTCTGTGGCGTTGTGGCGATGCCTTTTTAATCTTGTAAGAAATCTCATCAAAATCAACATTTTCAGGTAAAGTCGATTTTTCACTTGTGCAGTTGTGTAAAATCATGTTATCAACACTTTTGTTACATATTTTCACGATTGTTTGAACACAATAGGTAATAAATAGATTTGTAAAAATACAAAACGCCTATGCGTTTCTTTTTTGGGATAGTATATTTGGTATATAAATTTATTTCTTCATATTCGCTAGTACTGAAGTACCATGCATTAAATTCTTCCTAATCATCTTTGGAGCCATTTTAGAACCGCTCCCCAGCTCTCTACACAACACGTTAGAGAACTGTTGACGTAATCCATTGCGTGGCAACCGTTGGTTTGTCTAGCCCAGAGTACATAAAATCCAACCCAACTTAGTTACATCAGTCTTTTAATCCGATACCATTTTATCAGTAATTGATAACAAGGATGGGTTTGATTCTGGAAACCGTTCCGATATTAGTTGACTTTTGTTCTCGGAGTCCTCGATCCAAATATATCGATTTTAAATTAAAAATCAAGCACTTGACGTACAAAATCTTCACAGAACTTATCAAAGTGCATCTTGCCTCGTCGACAGCTGTCCAGGAAGTGAATAATAAGTCCGCAGTTTTTAGCAATAATCCAGCAATGTCACGACGGGGGACACCAGAAATGGGCTTCACACATGGTACCCATGTGGGGAATCGAACCCGAGTGTTGGCGTGACGAGCGAACGCTCTATCCTCTAGGCTACCCCACCACCCCAGTGAGTGTGTGAGCCTATGAGAGAGTGTATGAGTATGTACTGAGTGAATCAGTGAGTGAGTGTGCGACTAAAAGTGTAAGTTCTAAAACCTTCGACCTCGGAATAGAAACTCCCTCAGGCCAACAAGGGGTCTAAATGAAAGAAACTATATTTTCCGTCGAAATTGTTGCCGTTGGAGTGTCACAGATAAAAAGCTAAATCATATATATATTACTTAAACCGGTTTAATAAAAAAAAATACAAAGCAGAAAACACTATACATAGGACTTTTACATCGTCAGATGTTCGTGTGATGTCACACATGACGTCATCAGACCACGTCCACCGACGGCCGCCATGTTTTCATCGAAGCTTCTCCAGGACAACACGTGTTTGTGTTCCAACCATCAGGGTCGTGTGACGTCATATATGACGTCATCAGACCCCCTCGTCTGATACAGCAGCAGGGGTGTCATAGACTTGCTCTTCCACTGTGTTAGGGCTATACGCCTGACTGTGTTTCGACCGGCAGCAGGTAAGTATGACGTCATAAAGTAGAATTATGGCGCCCCCTAGGATGAACAGACCCCCTGCGGCGTAGAAGGACATGGCGTAGTTTCCGGTCAAGTCGTATAACCAGCCTGAAACATACAACACGGAAAATGTCAACTCCACCTGTGTACTTGATCTGCAAGCTAATCTGAACTGAACACGGGCGGTGGGTAGCCTGGTGGTTAAAGCATTCGCTCGTCACGCCGAAGGCCCGGGTTCGATTCCCCACATGGATACAATATGTGAAGCCCATTTATGGTGTCCCCCGTCGTAATGTTGTTGGAATATTGCTAAAAGCGGCGTAAAACCACACTCACTCACTGAACACACCAATGTTTAAAGGAGTGTTCACTATTTCAGGATTATTTTCAAGAAATACTGCTTTGAGACAATAAGTGCTGTATGCCCTAGAAGCACAGAGTGGTTCTCAAAGCACGAAGACTGCGTGAGTGAGCTTAGTTTTACGCCGCTTTTAATAATATTCCATCACTATCACGGCGGGGGAAACCTGAAAAGGGCTTCACACATTGTCCCCATGTGGAGAATCAAACCCGGGTCTTCGGCGAACACTTTAACTACTAGGCTGCCCCACGTCCCGTTCGAAAAGTGTCTTGTGTGATGTGAAAATATTCATAAAATCCTATTCGTATTTATCATGTAACTTAGGAGAGGAACACGGTGGAACCCATGGAAATATTGTTAAAGAGGAAATCCCAAACAATAATTGTGAGTGAATGAGTGAGTAAGGTCAGGTAGGTTATTATTGGGACGATGTTGCGTTTTGGAGAATGTTTACTGGTTGGGTTCAAACCGGTACCAGGGTTTTGGTTTTTTATACAATTACTTTAAAAGTGATAACTTTCTTTTGCCCGGTAGTGTAGTAACAGTCTTCAGAAGAAACGTCGACAAAATAGAAGTACTCCAAAACTATGTCATTTCTTCTTAACACAAAACCCCTGTAGATCCGGGTTAGAATTGGTCGAAGATCTTTATCAACCCATGTTTGTCATAAGAGACGACTAATGTGATCGGGTGGTCAGGCTCGCTGATTTGGTTGACAAATATCACTAGAGTGTCTGTCAAGATTCGAATATCTACAGACTGCCGCCATATAGCTGAACTATTGCTGAGCGCGGCGTTAAACAACAAACAAACAAACAAACATCACGCATTATACCTACCAGCCATAGGTGAGCCGAGGAAGACCACGATGCCTTGGAAGCAGATGAGGCAGCCAAAGCCTTCACTAAGTTTGGTTACTCCTATGGTATCCGCCACCGCCACGGCTTGTAGGTACAGCCACACTCCTAGACACATATAGTATGACCAGAAATTATTGAGAATTTTAGGAATATTTTTTATTGGATTTCTAGTATAAACAACCTTGACCAGTTATCAAGTGCTTGGTTCCATTCAAGAGAGACAACTCCGTTAATCCTTTTTCATTAGTTTGTGAAGAGTTATCCCCCTTTGTTTACTTGCTAGCAGACGACATTTTAAGTGATCCTCAGTATGGAGGATTTAGAGAAGGGGAAGTTTATTTTGGAGTATTATAACAAGGACATCAGATCAGCTAAAGTGATTTCAAGTAGAACAGGCATCCCTTTGTCCACTGTTTAACGTGTTTTGAAAAATATTGCAAATGGATATGGCACTGAGCACCAGGGAGGCGCAAGTAGGCCAAGAAAATTGACTGTCGGTGACAGGAGGCTGCTTGGTATTCTTGTTTCTAAAGACAAACGAAGGAGTTGAGAAAGCTTAATGCTGGGTATGATTGATAGAGGAACTGTGGCTGTCTGTAAGGAGACAATTAGAACTGAGCTGCATGCAATGGGTTGGCAGAAAAGTCGAGGAATTCCATCACCGATCATGAAACCTGAACAAAAGGAGCGAAGGTTGAACTGGTGCTTACAGCATAGAAATTTTAACTGGGGCAAGGTGATTTTCTCGGATGAAAGTTTTGTGTGGCTGTTTCCTAATACACTGAAATTCTGGACCAAACAAACTGAAAAACCTTTGTATCAGCGCCCAAAGTACAGTCCGAAATTTAACGTGTGGGGTGGCATATCTGTGTTAGGGGCAACGCCCCTCTGCGTATTTGAAGGGAATATTAACAGTGAACGGTACACAGGTATTCTCGAGGGACATTTACTTCCATCTGCTCACGTGTTCTATGGAAATTGTTGAATTTTCCAGCAGGACAACGACCAAAAACATCTTTCAAAGCATTCACAGGTCTGGTTGCGGACCCAAAATATGACATTATTAGATTGGCCAAGCTATAGCCCTGACCTAAATCCAATTGAAAATGTTTGGGGGCTTATGAAGGAAAGTGTCAATAAGAAAAATCTGACAAATATTGCTGAAATGAAAGAAGAGGTGGTCCGATATTGGGACAGCATGGACCACGACTTTCTAACTTCTTTGATCAGTAGTGTACCCGCCGCATTGAAGCCTGCTTTGCTGCCCACGGTGACTTGACAAAATACTAACTATTCACCTGTCTTTGGATCTGGAGATATGTTCTGCTATTATTCACTTTTAATACGTGAGTAATGAGTGTAAAAAAATATAAATTACAATCTTTAACTTCTCAATAATTTATGGTTGTACTGTGAAGGAAACATTTACATATGCAATATTAAGCCCACACAGGCATCAAGGTAGAGATACAATTAGGAGATAAACATCAGGTGTTGGCCAATTTCATGGTGTTATTGAGTATTTGAAGCACGGGAATACATTTGAAACCGACGGCGTTAGCGTTGGTGTTGGACAATTTCAGGGTGTTATTGAGTATTTGAAGCACGGGAATACATTTGAAACATACGGCGTTAGCGTTGGTGTTGGTCAATTTCAGGGTGTTATTGAGTATTTGAAGCACGGGAATACATTTGAAACATACGGCGTTAGCGTTGGTGGTGGCCAATTTCAGGGTGTTATTGAGTATTTGAAGTATTTGGAATATCGGTTTCAAATGTATTCCCGTGTTTCAAGTACTCAGTAACATCCGGAAATTGGCCAACACCTGGTGTTTATCGACATTGTAAACACAAAAGTAAACCAAAACGTCAACACGCGTTTTTCTGCTTGAACTCATTGCCATCGTGTACGGGAACGGCTCGAGAACGGGTTTCGACTGGGTCCCATGTAGCATCTGGAACTGCTCATTTGTGACGTCATTCCGACTTTACGTAACACTATGATTTGAATGACGTCACCACTCTTGACGACGCAGCAATACAATTAGGAGATAAACATTTTGTGTTGGCCTATTTCCGGGTGTTATTGAGTATTTGAAGCACGGGAATTCATTTGGAACCGGTTAGGCGTCAGCCGGAAGTTTCAAATGAAATATTCCCGTGCTTCAAATACTCATTGTAAACCAAAAGTCACTGTGTTCTTTAATCTGATTGGTTGAAAAACGTGATCAAATGGTATTAGATTCCCGGAAATTCGCTGCGTATTAATACATGCAAACATCACTCACACCATTGTATTGTTACATCGTCAGCTGTGATGACGTCATTAAAATCATATTGTGACGTAAAGTCCGAATGACGTAAAGTCCGAAGTTCCAGATGCTACATGGGAACCAGTCGAAACCCGTTCTCGAGCCGTTCCCGTACACGATGGCAATGAGTTCAAGCAGAAAAACACGTGGAAACAGCCGAAACGGCCGGCTGATGATATTTCACTGCTGTACCCGTACTCGATGTCAATGAGTGCAGACACAAAACGTGTGTGGACCTTTTGGTTTACTTTTGTGTTTACAATGTCGATAAACATCATGTGTTCGCCAATTTCCGGGTGTTATTGAGTATTTGAAGGACGGGAATTCATTTGTAACCGACGGCGTGAGCCGGAGGTTTCAAATGAAATATTCCCGTGCTTCAAATACTCAATAACACCCGGAAATTGGCGAACACATGATGTTTATCTCCTAAATAACACCCGGAAATTGGCCAACATATGATGTTTATCGACATTGTAAGCACAAAAGTAAACCAAAATGGTCCACACACGTTTTTGTGTCTGTACTCATTGACATCGAGTACGGGTACAGCAGTGAAATGTCATCAGCCGGCCGTTTCGGCTGTTTCCCATGGTAGCATCTGGGAACTGCTCATTTGTGACGTCATTCAGACTTTACGTCACAATATGATTTGAATGACGTCATCGCAGCTGACGACGTAACAATACAATGGTGTGAGCGATGTTTGTGCGTATTAATACGCAGCGAATTTCCGGGAATCGAATACCATTTGATCATGTTTTTCAACCAATCAGATTAAAGAACACAGGGACTTTTGGGTTACAATTATTTGTGTGCGATATTTGTACGCATGAATCCGCAGCGAATAATCTTACAAGTTGAGGGAATCGAATACCATTCGATCATGTTTTGCATTAGAACACCTCATCTTTATCTCGGGATATGGACACATTGAAATCTGGTTACCTTGTTCACCAACTGTTACGGCGCTAGATATATCATGTCATGAATATGTCTGTATTTTGGGCCAAAGACCTTATACTGAATAAATCTGTCTGTCTGTCTGTCTGTCTGAATACGAAGTAAAGAAGACCATGAGTAATCGATATTTCTGAATAGATCGATAATACACTTATCGCACAACCACACACAGATATTGTCATTCAGTAAACTCACCTAAAAACGTCCCAAAAAAGACAGAGTAAGCCATCAGCGTCGGGAACGACAACAACGTCGGACACATCATGGTGGCAACACCACACAGAATACTGGCTGAAGCGAGGAACGCCACTCTGTTGACACAAGGGAGGTCGGATATCCGAGCAAACAGCAGGCGTCCCCCCATGCTGGATATCCCGATGGTTGATATCAACCAAGTCGACTTCTTCTCCGGGATGTCTATGCCGTTGGCGAGGTCTGGGAGGTGGTTGAAAGGGATGAGGTATGCGAGAGCCCCGACAACGGACCCCACCACAAAGACGGTATACCTGACGTTGGTAAAGGTTGACAGGACGGATTTTACTTTAAAGCAGAAAACGGCAGCAGAGCAGGCTTTACTTGTTTCTTCCTTGTCTCCATCAGAAAGAACAAAACAAATATAAAGGTAACAGCAAATATTCTAAACTAGTTAATATCAAATGTTTTGTACGATACGATGCCTTGATCCATGATCTAACGAAGCATTCAAATGAGGTCACCTGAATGTTTTTAGCCACTCATGTTCGAGGTACAAAATTTGAAAATGTAATTAAACGGAAAGTCCCAAATGGAGACTAATAAAGACCGCACTAATATAAGGGTACGTTACACCTCGAGTCAGACTAAAACATGTATAAGCAGTGGGAGGAATTTACTATATTTATGTGGTTTCTTCTGGATTCTTCTGAAAGAGCAATTTGTGTTGATGTGTAAACCTAATTAATTATATAATACAGTTGTTAATTGTATAAAATTACTTTGCTGTTTGTTCTGCTTTCAAATTTAATTCTTTTACTTACAGATTTCAGGGTTAACGTGTTGTTTCAATTTTGAAATTGACGCTTAACAAATACATTGAAGCATTTTAAACATAATAATAAGAAATTTGGACTTTTTTGGCAGAATATTTCTACGATCACTGCTACAAGTTTTTCTTCTCTCTTCAAGGATGACCCGGAACAGCGCATTTTTCTCAGGACAAGTGGCAGATCAATATAAACAATGCTTTTAGGCATGTTTATGCTTTATCCGCCCATTTTCCAGAAAGAAACTATACTGCCGTGCTAAGAAAGCATACATCCATGTTTGTTTGATAATGACTGAAACTAAAACAAACTAGAACTGGGTGGTTGGTTTGTTGTTTTACGCCGCACTCATCAATATTGCAGCTATATGGCAGCGGTCTGTAAATAGTCGAGTCTGGACCAGACAAGCCAGTGATCAACAGCATGAACATCAATCTGCGGTGATGGGATACGATGACATGTGTCAACCAAGTCAGTGAGGCTGACCACCCGATCCCGTTAGTCGCCTCTTACGACAAGCATGGGTTACTGAAGACCACTTCACGGGTCAACTAGAACTGGACATAAGATGGTGATGAATTCGAATTCCAGACGGGTATTATTGGCGATATCGCTTGTATCACATCAATAAGATTAGTAATGGATAGCTCACTACAAGCTCTTAACATCATCGTTTTGGTCAAACACAGATTTTAAATGCGAGCATTCTTTTCTGTAGTTTCTTTCTTTGTACTATGTTCTTGTTCTATATTTCATGTTCTTTATTATGTCTAAATACATATATTTATCACCTTATTATTATATAATATATATTATATAACATAATATCGATATTTCACTCGGAGACATGAAAGATCTGTAAGAAAACTATGACAAATAGAACATTTTGTTTTGTCAAACAATCATTTCTATCTTATCGTCTTATCTGTGAATCAATTGTGAACATATCAATTTTTCAAGGCCGATCCATATATACTAAAATATCTTTCATATACTCTACGTTTTCATCTCAGCTTGGATTCAATCCTACCTGAAGTCGTTGATTCTGTTTTCAGATCACCCAGTTCCTGCTTGGTGTAAAAAGGCCTGAAAAGCGCCCCGAACACTGCACAGTTGAGGACGAGCCCACCTGTAATCAACAACGCTCCCCTCCAGGTGTACACCGACATCATCACCTGTAGGAGAGGGGGGAGAGCCAGCGTCCCCACACCTCCTCCTAGAGACCCTAGGGCGTTGGCCAGGGACCGTCTTTTCACAAAGTACTGGTTCACGATGACGGTGGCGGACACAAACAGGAGACTAAAACCCAGTCCTGGAAGGTATGAATATGGTGAATATCATACGTGTGCTTGCAATGAATGCTGGACCTGGAGTGTGTGTGAATTCGATGAATGCTGTACCTGGAGAGGGTGTATATAATGAATGCTGGACCTGGGATGTGTGTGAATATAATGAATGCTGGACCTGGAGAGGGTGAGTATAATGAATACTGGACCTGGGGTGTGTGTGAATATAATGAATGCTGGACCTGGTGTGTGTGAATATAATGAATGCTGGACTTGGTGTGTGAGAATATAATGAATGCTGGACCTGGGGTGTGTGAATATAATGAATGCTGGACCTGGTGTGTGAATATAATGAATGCTGGACCTGATGTTTCTGAATATAATGAATGCTGGACCTGGTGTGTGTGAATATACTGGATACCTGACCTGCAGTGTGTGAATATAATGAATACTGGACCTTGTGTGTGTGAATATAATGAATGCTGGACCTGATGTGTGTGAATATGATGAATGCTGGACCTTGTGTGTGTGAATATAATGAATGCTGGACCTGGTGTGTGTGAATATAATGAATGCTGGACTTGGTGTGTGAGAATATAATGAATGCTGGACCTGGGGTGTGTGAATATAATGAATGCTGGACCTGGTGTGTGTGAATATAATGAATGCTGGACCTGGTGTGTGTGAATATAATGAATGCTGGACCAGGTGTGTGTGAATATAATGAATGCTGGACCTGGTGTGTGTGAATATAATGAATGCTGGACCTGATGTTTCTGAATATAATGAATGCTGGACCTGGTGTGTGTGAATATACTGGATACCTGACCTGGTGTGTGGGAATAAAATGAATACTGGACCTTGTGTGTGTGAATATAATGAATGCTGGACCTGGTGTGTGTGAAAATACTGGATACCTGACCTGGTGTGTGTGAATATAATGAATGCTGGACCTGGTGTGAGTGAATATAATGGATACCTCACCTGGTGTGTGTGAATATAATGAATACTGGACCTTGTGTGTGTGAATATAATGAATGCTGGACCTGGTGTGTGAGAATTTAATGAATACCTGCCCTTGTGTGTGTGAATATAATGAATGCTGGACCTGATGTTTCTGAATATAATGAATGCTGGACCTGATGTGTGAGAATATAATGAATGCTGGACCAGGTGTGTGCGAATATAATGAATGCTGGACCTGGTGTGTGTGAATATAATGAATGCTGGACCTGATGTTTCTGAATATAATGAATGCTGGACCTGGTGTGTGTGAATATACTGGATACCTGACCTGGTGTGTGGGAATAAAATGAATACTGGACCTTGTGTGTGTGAATATAATGAATGCTGGACCTGGTGTGTGTGAAAATACTGGATACCTGACCTGGTGTGTGTGAATATAATGAATACTGGACCTTGAGTGTGTGAATATAATGAATGCTGGACCTGATGTTTCTGAATATAATGAATGCTGGACCTGGTGTGTGTGAATATACTGGATACCTGACCTGCAGTGTGTGAATATAATGAATACTGGACCTTGTGTGTGTGAATATAATGAATGCTGGACCTGATGTGTGTGAATATGATGAATGCTGGACCTTGTGTGTGTGAATATAATGAATGCTGGACCTGGTGTGTGTGAATATAATGAATGCTGGACCTCGTGTGTGTGAATATAATGAATGCTGGACCTGGGGTGTGTGAAAATAGTGAATGCTGGACCTGGGGTGTGTGTGAATATAATGAATGCTGGACCTGATGCGTGTGAATATACTGGATACCTGACCTTGTGTGTGTGAATATAATGAATGCTGGACCTGGTGTGTGTGAATATAATGAATGCTGGACCTGGTGTGAGTGAAAACAATGAATGCTGGACCTAGGTGTGTGTGAATATAGTGAATGCTGGACCTGGTGTGTGTGAATATAATGAATGCTGGACCTTGTGTGTGTGAATATAATGAATGCTGGACCTGGTGTATGTGAATATAATGAATGTTGGACCTGATGTGTGTGAATATAATGAATGCTGGGCTTGGTGTGTGAGAATATAATGAATGCTGGACCTGGTGTGAGTGAATATAATGAATGCTGGACATGGGGTGTGTGGATATAATGAATGCTGGACCTGGTGTGTGTGAATATAATGAATGCTTGACCTGGTGTGTGTGAATATACTGGATAGTGGAATACTGGACCTCATGGATGTGATTATTGAGAATAGTGGACTTGGGGAGGATAATGAATATAATGAATACTGGTCCTTGTGTGTGTGAATATAATGAATGCTGGACCTGGTGTGTGTGAATATAATGAATGCTGGACCTGATGTGTGTTAATATAATGAATGCTGGACTTGGTGTGTGAGAATATAATGAATGCTGGACCTCGTGTGTGTGAATATAATGAATGCTGGACCTGGGGTGTGTGAAAATAATGAATGCTGGACCTGGGGTGTGTGTGAATATAATGAATGCTGGACCTGATGCGTGTGAATATACTGGATACCTGACCTGGTGTGTGTGAATATAATGAATGCTGGACCTGGTGTGTGTGAATATAATGAATGCTGGACCTGGTGTGAGTGAAAACAATGAATGCTGGACCTAGGGTGTGTGTGAATATAGTGAATGCTGGACCTGGTGTGTGTGAATATAATGAATGCTGGACCTTGTGTGTGTGAATATAATGAATGCTGGACCTGGTGTATGTGAATATAATGAATGTTGGACCTGATGTGTGTGAATATAATGAATGCTGGGCTTGGTGTGTGAGAATATAATGAATGCTGGACCTGGTGTGAGTGAATATAATGAATGCTGGACATGGGGTGTGTGGATATAATGAATGCTGGACCTGGTGTGTGTGAATATAATGAATGCTGGACCTGATGTGTGTTAATATAATGAATGCTGGACTTGGTGTGTGAGAATATAATGAATGCTGGACCTCGTGTGTGTGAATATAATGAATGCTGGACCTGGGGTGTGTGAAAATAATGAATGCTGGACCTGGGGTGTGTGTGAATATAATGAATGCTGGACCTGATGCGTGTGAATATACTGGATACCTGACCTGGTGTGTGTGAATATAATGAATGCTGGACCTGGTGTGTGTAGGAATATAATGAATGCTGGACCTGGTGTGAGTGAAAACAATGAATGCTGGACCTAGGGTGTGTGTGAATATAGTGAATGCTGGACCTGGTGTGTGTGAATATAATGAATGCTGGACCTTGTGTGTGTGAATATAATGAATGCTGGACCTGGTGTATGTGAATATAATGAATGCTGGACCTGATGTGTGTGAATATAATGAATGCTGGGCTTGGTGTGTGAGAATATAATGAATGCTGGACCTGGTGTGAGTGAATATAATGAATGCTGGACATGGGGTGTGTGGATATAATGAATGCTGGACCTGGTGTGTGTGAATATAATGAATGCTTGACCTGGTGTGTGTGAATATACTGGATAGTGGAATACTGGACCTCATGGATGTGATTATTGAGAATAGTGGACTTGGGGAGGATAATGAATATAATGAATACTGGTCCTTGTGTGTGTGAATATAATGAATGCTGGACCTGGTGTGTGTGAATATAATGAATGCTGGACCTGATGTGTGTTAATATTATGAATGCTGGACTTGGTGTGTGAGAATATAATGAATGCTGGACCTGGTGTGAGGGAATATAATGGATACCTCACCTGGTGTGTGTGAATATAATGAATACTGGACCTTGTGTGTGTGAATATAATGAATGCTGGACCTGGTGTGTGAGAAGTTAATGAATACCTGACCTTGTGTGTGTGAATATAATGAATGCTGGACCTGGTGTGTGTGAATATAATGAATGCTGGACCTGATGTGTGAGAATATAATGAATGCTGGACCTGAGTGTGAGTGAATATAATGAATGATGGACATGGGGTGTGTGGATATAATGAATGCTGGACCTGGCGTGAGTGAATATAATGAATGCTTGACCTGGTGTGTGTGAATATACTGGATACTGGAATACTGGACCTCATGGATGTGATTATGAAGAATAGTGGACTTGGGGAGGGTGGATATAATTAATACTGGACCTGGTGGGTGTGATTACAATGAATACTGGAACTGAAGGGTGTGAATGTAATGAATACTGAACCTGTCGGATGTGGATGTAATGAATACTGGACCTGTCCGGAGTGAATGTAATGAATACTGGACCTGTCGGGAGTTAAAGTAATGAATACTGGACCTGTCGGGACTGAATGTAATGAATACTGGACCTGTCGGGACTGAATGTAATGAATACTGGACCTCATGGATTTGATTATGAAGAATAGTGGACTTGGGGAGGGTGGATATAATTAATACTGGACCTGGTGGGTGTGATTACAATGAATACTGGAACTGAAGTGTGTGAATATGATGAATACTTGACCTGTCGAGAGTGAATGTAATGAATACTGAACCTGTCGGGAGTGAATGTAATGAATACTGGACCTGTCGGGAGTTAAAGTAATGAATACTGGACCTGTCGGGAGTGAATGTAATGAATACTGGACCTGTCGGGTGTGGATGTAATGAATATTGGACCTGTCGGGTGTGGATGTAATGAATACTGGACCTGTCGGGAGTGAATGTAATGAATTCTGGACCTGTCGGGAGTGAATGTAATGAATACTAGACCTGTCAGGTGTGGATGTAATGAATACTGGACCTGTCGGGTATGGATGTAATGAATACTGGACCTGTTGGGTGTGGATGTAATGACTACTGGACCTGTCGGGTGTGAATGTAATGAATACTGGACCTGTCGGGAGTGAATGTAATGAAGTCTGGACCTGTCGGGAGTGAATGTAATGAATACTGGACCTGTCGGGAGTGAATGTAAAGAATACTGCACCTGTCGGGAGTGAATGTAAAGAATACTGGACCTGTCGGGTGTGGATGTAATGAATACTGGACCTGTCGGGAGTGAGTGTAATGAATACTGGACCTGTCGGGAGTGAGTGTAATGAATACTGGACCTGTCGGGAGTGAATGTAAAGAATACTGGACCTGTCGGGTGTGGATGTAATGAATACTGGACCTGTCGAGAGTGAATGTAATGAATACTGGACCTGTCAGGTGTGGATGTAATGAATACTGGACCTGTCGGGTGTGGATGTAATGAATACTGGACCTGTCGGGAGTGAATGTAATAAATAGTGGACCTGTCGGGAGTGAATGTAATAAATAGTGGACCTGTCGGGAGTGAATGTAATGAATACTGGACCTCATAGATGTGATTATGAGGAATAGTGGACTTGGGGAGGGTGGATATAATGAATGCTGGACCTGGTGGGTGTGATTACAATGAATACTGGAACTAAAGGGTGTGAATATGGTGAATACTGGACCTGTCGGGAGTGAATGTAATGAATACTGGACCTGTCGGATGTGGATGTAATGAATACTTGACCTGTCCGGAGTGAATGTAATGAATACTGGACCAGTCGGGAGTGAAAGTAATGAATACTGGACCTGTTGGGACTGAATGTAATGAATACTGGACCTGTATGGAGTGAATGTAATGAATACTGGACCTCATGGATGTGATTATGAAGAATAGTGGACTTGGGGAGGGTGGATATAATTAATACTGGACCTGGTGGGTATGAGTACAATGAATACTGGAACTGAAGTGTGTGAATATGATGAATACTGGACCTGTCGGGAGTGAATGTAATGAATAGTGGACCTGTCGGATGTGGATGTAATCAATTCTGGACCTGTCGGGTGTGGATGTAATGAATACTGGACCTGTCGGGTGTGAATGTAATGAATACTGGACCTGTCGGGAGTGAATGTAATGAATACTGGACCTGTTGGGAGTGAATGTAATGAATACTGGACCTGTCGGGAGTGAATGTAATGAATACTGGACCTGTCGGGAGTGAATGTAATAAATAGTGGACCTGTCGGGAGTAAATGTAATGAATACTGGACCTCATGCATGTGAATATGAAGAATAGTGGACCTGTGGAGCGTGAACATAATGAATACTGATCTTTTACTGTAATTAAATATTTAAACCAATCAGTCCACTGTTAATCTTATTGTGCTTGGACGTATTCGAGTAATAATGAATATCCCCAAGAACGAAGTGCAATATAAAAAATACCCCAATTTTCTGTTATGTGATATGAATTTTGTTTATGTCGCTCGGAACGATTGTTTTATTTATATCAAGACATGTCCGGTATTCCTAGGAAGAAACCCGGATGTGGCGCGACCTTGGACGTCGGACGCATTGAGAAGCCCAAAAGCAAAGGTACACAGCTAACAAACCCATGTCCACGATTAGGGTAAAACAATATCACATTTTTGTTCTAATATTGATATGAACCACTCACATGAGCTTCATATATAGTACAGCTGGAATAGTTGGAATCCTGCTGACTGCAGCGTAAACAGCATTCACTTACTGTTAAGATAACGACGGTAGAACTATTTCAAAGCAAACAGAAGATTTTAGAGATTATCTTGTATTTTTACAACTTCCGACAATTTTTCATGTCCACCTATGTCCTCCAACACAGCAAAATGTGTTTCCAGCAGTTTTGAAACTTTATAAATGGCACCCTGCCGAGAAACCAAGCCACTATACCTCCCGACGGCAATGTTCACCTTCCTGACGTCACTACAGGTGACCTTGCCACATCCTTACCTTGAAGGACGCCGTAACTGAAGTACAGGAAGATGATACTGTCGGCCAGGAAACTGACACTGCAGCCTACACAGGCCAGCACAGCCCCCAGTATAGCTGTCACGCGAGTCCCCAGCAGGCCCAGGACAATAACGTCCAGGGGTCCTGGAATCAAACATGAATCTTATTTACATAATCAAATATTGACCGAATTTGACGTCATCATTTTGGTTAAAAATAAGGTCACGGTCAAGTTTGGATTTGATAATAGGGTTGCACAACAGAGAGAAAATAAATTAACAGTATGCCTATATGCGAGCGAAGCGAGCAAAGGTTGGCGACGTACTTCCCTCGCTTCGGTTCGAAAAATATTTTTAATTTCAAAATAAAATATCGCCACCATCATTGCTAGACACCCATTTCCTCATAGGGTTGTGCTCTCAGATTTCAAACCTCATATTTAATAATTACTCACGTAAAATATATTTCATTCAACATTTTAAGCGCCACTCGTGGCATATCAAATCGTTCTTCGCCTCCATTACCCCTGCCAGGTTCCGGTTCAGCATACTGAAGGAACAGGGGAGTTAACTCTAAGTATACTTGTTGAATCACATGTCCGCATTTGGAATACTTGCGGAGTTTTGTTGTTTGTTGTTGTTTCTTTATTACTGTTAAAATTCTAACAATAACTACGGTAGATAAGATAAATAATCTTCAACAGTTTAATGGTAAAATTATTCAATATGATAGTTCTTTTTAATTTCTGCTTATTCGTGTTCCTTCGCTCCGTATCGTAAGCTGGCAGGCGTAATGGAGGCGAAGAACGATTGGCGCTTAAAATGTTGAATGAAATATATTATACACTAGTAATTATTAAATATGACCCTGGAAATCTGAGAGCACAACTTACAGCGAGGCTGAATTCAATGTGTCTACCTTACCAGCGAGGCTGAATTCAATGTGTCTACCTTACCAGCGAGGCTGAATGGAATGTGTTTACCTTACCAGCGAGACTGAATGGAATGTGTCTACCTTACCAGCGAGGCTGAATTCAATGTGTCTACCTTACCAGCGAGGCTGAATTCAATGTGTCTACCTCACCAGCGAGGCTGAATGGAATGTGTTTACCACACCAGCGAGGCTGAATTCAATGTGTCTACCTCACCAGCGAGGCTGAATGAAAGTGCCTACCTTACCAGCGAGGCTGAATGGAATGTGTTTACCTTACCAGCGAGGCTGAATGAAAGTGCCTACCTTACCAGCGAGGCTGAATGGAATGTGTTTACCTTACTAGCGAGGCTGAATGGAATGTGCTTACCTCACCAGCGAGGCTGAATGGAATGTGTTTACCTTACTAGCGAGGCTGAATTCAATGTGTCTACCTTACCAGCGAGGCTGAATTCAATGTGTCTACCTTACCAGCGAGGCTGAATGAAAGTGCCTTCCCTTACCAGCGAGGCTGAATGGAATGTGTTTACCTTACCAGCGAGGCTGAATGAAAGTGCCTACCTTACCAGCGAGGCTGAATGGAATGTGTTTACCTTACTAGCGAGGCTGAATTGAGATGTGTCTACCTTACTAGCGAGGCTGAATTGAATGTGTTTACCTCACCAACGAGGCTGAATTGAATGTGTTTACTTACCAACGAGGCTGGATTGAATATGTGTACCTTACCAGCGAGGCTGAATTCAATGTGTGTAGCTTACCAAGCAGTAGAACGAGTCCGCTGAGAAGAGATCCAATCCAGGCAGTCTCACCACGAGAACTTTCAAACTGACCCAGGAGCTCCACGTATATGACGCCGAAAGACTGCATGAGTCCAAACACAATGAAGTGGATGTAGAACGAGCCCACCACACACACCCACGCCCATCCAGCATCCTTCTGGCGAGTCATGGTTGAATATTCTAAATATCGGCAGAACTGTCAGAAAGAATAAGAGAAGTTTATTGGGTGTACCGACGCCAAAGGTTTGTGGTTTTTGTAGTTGTTCCCACCGACAAACCATCGAACAATATAACCATTATATGTAAACAGCATTACATAAATTGTTTGGTCATAGAGCTTGGTACTAGTGACATCAAATATTGCCACATAAAAGGACAGTATGTTACTGAGGAAGAAATCTGCCCAAAACCTTCATCTAAGAAAGCAACGTTTAGCTTGACTCTTAAACCTGAAGACATGTCCATTCTGTGTGTGTGTGATGATTTTAGGGGTTGGGGTGGGTCGGGGGTGGGGTTGTTCACCCATTTTGTTCTGGGGAGCTAGGAGGGTCAGCAATTTAGTACATAAATATATGTTTAAAATTATGCTTAGAAATTATGGGAAGGGAGGGGGTCATTGGTTTTGTACATGGCATGCAGGGGGACTTATTTTGTGCATAAATTTTAGGGGAATTCACATTATACATGCTACTCCATAAAAATCATCATCACCCTCCCTAGCCATAAATTATGAACGATCCCTAATACCATGTGATTCTCAAAATCTCAAAGGCTTTGCTTACATTTTTACAATCTCACAATTCCGTTCTGTGAAAGCACTTTAATTTTGAACGTTGTATACCACTATCCCACATGACAAACTTAGGACAAAACTTCATTCCTTGATCCATGGGACATTTGTAAATAAGAGATACCTACATATCTGTCTTCAGAGGTTCAGGACAATTTGTCAAATATAAAAGCAAATGTCATTTGACGTTTACCGAGAAAACAATATGTGAAATACTTGACTTTCTCATTGATAACATCTATGTAAAAGTTTGGGGTAAACCATTTCACCAAGAAGCAGGTATCCCCATGGGCACCAACTGTGCTCCCCTCCTTGCGGATCTGTTTCTTTATGCATATGAATCAGAATTTCTGTTGGCAAAATCAAAACAAGGTAATTTTGCCAAGAAGTTTAACTTTGGCTTCCGGAACATCGATATCGTTCAAAGACCATCAAATAGCCATTTCCCTTCCACTGATTTACTCACCGAACCTGAAATCAAGGAGACCTAATTAAGACCGACTCAACTTTTTCATGTTTAGATCTAAAGATTCAGAGTGACAAAACAAAATGTCCACAAGACCGTGTGACAAAAGGGATGATTTCAACCTCCCAACAGTCAACCTTTCATGTCGAGCAATATTCCAACAGCTCCAGCATTTGGTGTTTACATTTCACAACTTTTGAGGTACAATCGATCATGCTATTTAAGATTTCAAAGAGCGTCAAACCACTCTTGCTCAGAAGTTGTTCGATCAAGGTTACAATTTTCAAGGCCTCGTTAAAGCTTTCAAAACGTTTCATGGTAAACATTTGGAGGACATTTCAAAATTCGATCCATCACTGACAAAACTTACGTCCTTTCCGATTCCCCTTTTTGACCTGTACCACACGTTAACGAATTGTTTTCAGGTGAACAGTTGACAAGCCTTTGCCTATGTTAATAACGGGCGCCACCGGTTAGGCAGGATACGCACACATTTGCGCGATCAACAGATCGTATCACATGGTCACAATTAAAATTAATTCCCTAGATAAAGTGCACACCAAAAGGTAATAATATAGAGGGTGTCTACTGTTCTTCAATCTCCATGGTAACGTCATGACAAGGCGAGGAAAAAATGACGTGAATTTATTCTCAAATAACTATAATTATACTGGCAATGTCTATTCAGCAGTTAACAAAAGCGATAAATTCTTTTCCATAGTCATAATCATTTTCTCCGAAATGAATCACTAACACACCCAGATGACACGGATGCTCGCGGATGGTCGAGGTCACCTTGACTTACCAGTGTGACGAACGACAAACTCATTCAATGACGAGCCAACTGTATACCTGATTCACGCTTGTTGATGGGATTCACATGAAGCCTGGTTGTTATCCATTGGTTTTATCTGTATATGCTGCACACACAGAACATATGGTACCGAGCATTCAGCAATATTGCAGCTTGCTTGATAACGCTGTTAGAACCTACACCAAAACGTCCATATATTGTTATCCTTTCTTGCTGCTCCAACTTCTAATGCCTCTCAAAGAAATCAAATAGAACCATTTACGTACGTTGCAGTATGTTAAAAAGTAAATGTTCCTCTGTACAAATATCATGGAATGGTAAGAAAGATTCACTTTTTCCTAAGCGAGTGTCTGAAATCTGACTCGTAATGTTGCTTTAAATGACTGCAGTCACGTGGCATCACATCTGTTTGGGCTGTGAAGAGGTCTAGCATTAAAGAAGGTGACACATGATCTCATTTCCACTGATGAAGCCAAGTTCTTCAATCAAGAAAAACACGTGGCCAGAGACGATATATTGCAGCAGGAGAAGAAGATATAGCTTCGTTGTTTGGCTGTGTCAAGAAGGAAACGCTTGGTTCTTTAAGACACATTCGTTTCTGTGACAACGTATCCAAAAGTATTTCTGCTGTGGCACCACAAACTCTTCCACCGACATCAGCAGCTGCAGGTTACCACAGTCTCCGTGTGTGCTATCAGGTGATGGTATGGAAGGGAAAACATCTCAGCCTGAAACCGGAGATCTGGGGTTGGCACATTGTGGATGGAAGGTGTATGCCAATACAAACCGATCAGTCACCAGCACCACCATTCTCTTCCCACAGAGGTTACTCCTGTCATATCTTCCTACGTAACCTCTGTTCTAATACGGCCCTTTCAGGGTGTGAGCGTTCAAGACTTGTGATTGGAGGCAATCAGATTTAGTTGTGCAATCAGCGACGTTGTTTCAAAAGTGATCATTCGCCAGGCCTCGGTAATTTCCGTATGCTTCGGGAAAACTAGAACGTCTTCCCCTGCGCGATGCGCAAACGTTTCTTGTAGACAGAACTCAATGGCGTCTCCATCGCCCTCGTTGACAACGAACAAGCTCGCCATTAAATGTCTCGTGTGTCACATCAACACAAGTCCCCGGCAGAGGAGGGATATTTGTGGCCCCACATTTGCTTGTATTAGTCAAGTTGAGCAAGTGTTGGGAAGAAATATCAACAAGAATCAGGGATTGGGATGTAACAAAGTCTGCCTCTCATCATAAATGATAGCGATGATCGTTTTGGCTTCACTGATACATGGGAGAATCTCGTAAGTTAGGGACTTGCCACTACCAGTTTTAGTCCCGACAAACACTTCTTGTCCATGGATTCCTGCACTCTCTATTGCTAGTTTCTGATTTTCAGTTAAACATGAAATACCGAATCATTCCTTCGCACGTTGATCAACTAACACCATGGAGGCCGCCATGGTGGATCTAAGTCTATTTAACACGTGTTCTGATTGGATAGAAAGAAGGGAGATAATTTGTGTTGCGATATTTTGCCGCTAGGGGATTTTACGAGGACCGGGAAATATGGCCGTATTAGAACAGAGGTTACGTAGGAAGATATGACAGGAGTAACCTCTGTGGGAAGAGAATGCAGCACAACCAGAACTGCTGGATGTGATTTGCACAAATTAGCCTTACATTAGAAGAACATGTTCCACAATTAAAATCACGGAGAATGAGAAATACTTGGATTGAAATACCCTCTCCGGGAACAATTATGTAGAGGTTAACAAGTGGTTCTAACTTATGGATCAGAAATAATTTTAGTCTCTAAAATAAAATGATATTGTTCGTAAACTATGTATTAAATATAACAGTCCTGTTCAAACTGAAAAAATCTACACTTGCCTAAGCAGGCATACTTGGGACTTATTTTTGTATTAAAAGATATTTTATTTACGATACTGGACAAAATAAGTGTCAAGAACCCAAATGTTTGTGAGCAGAATAAAACAGAGGTCATTGCATCACCATTGTCACTTATGATATCAACCACTGGCATCGTCACAGATAGAATATCACGGTTGCGAAAAATAGCCTCCCTCACAATTCTCATCACATGCACTCAAATAATAACAGTAATGATAGTCTGTATATAATGATAGTCTGTATTTAATGATAGTCTGTATATAATGATAGTCTGTTTACCATGCGCATTTCTCCATGCTCAATGCATGCTGAAAGCGCCCAAACAATCTGATTATTACTACCCCGGACAATCCATGCTGTAAGGCGCTAGAAGGTCAGTGTTACATGGCTTATCCCACCGGGTACCCATTTTCTGCTGGGTGAACAGATGCACACTTTAAACAAACTCACTTGCATGAGGTGCGACCACATACATGTATCTCATGTACATAAACACTCAGCGTATCATAACATTAATGAGAAACATATGTCTTTGAAAATACAAAACAGTTCATACAAATATATTGCCATCATATCACTAACTACATCAGTAATATTAAACATATTTCATTCATCATTACATATTTTAAGGTGAAATGCCGTTAAATCTCCATATATGTGTGTCAACGCGTGGATATGCGTCAACTGGGGAATTAGCTCATAATTAAGATGAAGTGTGCGTTGATGAAGACGAAGGCATAGTTGAGTTCAAACGTCTTTAGTACATGACAAACAAATACACAAGACATGAGCGAGGTGAGCGGAGTACCTGCTCAACCCCAGGGCGTTTCCTACGAGCGGCATTATCCTGCTCGTGGTCGTCCCAACAGACAGTCCAAATACCGAACTCGTACTCTTTCACTCTATAGATGTGAGCATACTAAGTATATATACAGTTTTTGACAACAATGGACAGGCGATGACTCAGCAATTGATAGATAGAAAAACAATAGCACTTCCTTGACCAGTTGATGTGATGGCAGACACGGCCAAGGGAGATTACCAATGAAGGTTATAAATGTCTTATACAATAATTAATGGGCTGACAAGTCAATTTACAATGCGGTAGTGATAAGGATGTACAGTAGTGATTAAAAATACAGGTTAGCGCCATATATATTTTACAATAAAGTCTCACATGTCTTGATAACATTGTTTTGGACTTTTTAAATATTTGGACGATGGCTGTCCTGAATTAGTCACTATAACATATGTATAAACAATTCAGTGTAATATTTTAACGAATAACTAACATAAAAGTATGATACGCACCCAGTCGAACATACAGGAGAAACACCCAACCTGTAACAAATATAATTTCCAACTGGTTGCAAACTCTCAAATTTAACATAAGTTATTATATACCCACAAGCTATGTTACACGACTTGACTGACCTCAAACTTACTTCCTAGATGCATACAATGGTCTGTCATACCTCGCATTTACAACACTGACAATCACTACATCACACGCCTACCATAACAGTTGTTGAAAGCTTTGCTTAGGCCTTGAATGTTGTGTAAGGCTCTTTGAAATCACAGTAAACAGTGCATGCTCGATTGTATTGAATGTTGTGTAAGGCTCTTTGAAATCACAGTAAACAGGGCATGCTTGATTGTATTGAATGTTGTGTAAGGCTCTTTTAAATCACAGTAAACAGGGCATGCTCGATTGTATTGAATGTTGTGTAAGGCTCTTTTAAATCACAGTAAACAGGGCATGCTTGATTGTATTGAATGTTGTGTAAGGCTCTTTTAAATCACTGTAAACAGTGCATGCTCGATTGTATTGAATGTTGTGTAAGGCTCTTTTAAATCACAGTAAACAGGGCATGCTCGATTGTATTGAATGTTGTGTAAGGCTCTTTGAAATCACAGTAAACAGTGCATGCTCGATTGTATTGAATGTTGTGTAAGGCTCTTTGAAATCACAGTAAACAGGGCATGCCCTATTGTATTGAATGTTGTGTAAGGCTCTTTGAAATCACAGTAAACAGTGCATGCCCTATTGTATTGAATGTTGTGTAAGGCTCTTTGAAATCACAGTAAACAGTGCATGCTCGATTGTACCTCAAACGATGTGTAATGTAAACACCAAAGGCTGGAGCTGTTGAAATATTGCTCGACATGAAAGGGAAGCTGACTATTGGGAAGTCGAAATCACACCTTGTCATACAGCCTTGTCGAGAGTTTTTGTCACTCTGAATATGTATGCATAGATCTAAACATGAAACAGTTGAGGCGTTCCGGTTTCCAGTTCAGGTGGGTAAATCAGTGGAAGGCAATGGGCTATTTGATGCTCAGTGAACGATATTAGATCATCGATGTAACGGAAGCTAAAGTTAAACTTCTTGACCAAACGACCTTGTTTTGATTTTGACAACAGAAGTTGATTCACATGCATAAATAAACAGATCCGCAAGGCGGGGAGAACAATTGGAGCCCATGGGGATACCTGCTTCGAGTAGAAATTCCAATTCACATGCATAAAGGTTCTTGAGAGGCATTTAGAAGTTGTCATTCAAGTAGAAGGCAAATATTATGGGTCACAACCACTTGTGACATACAATAAGGAAGAAGCTGTCATCTATAATATTTGCCTTCTTCACATGCATACAGTGTCTAACTGGGTAATAGACAACAGTGCTTTTATAGTTCCCGCTGTAAGATACAGCTTATGTAGACACTAGCTGAGCGAGGCTCACTCAAGGGCACGGTTGACAGCCGCCATTTTGTCCCAAAGCTTGACCTGTGTACCACGTGATCGGCAGCTAGGTCACATGACTTGCGGAAATTCCACTATTGACGACATACACTGTGCTAGTGGTCTATCATGAATTTAACCATTGGGACTTACCCAGTGTGCGGAATAGCCACTGGCTCGCTAGCCCATGGCTAGTAAACATCCATTCGGGCCAGTAAATTTCCACAGTCACTGGCCCGACTGGCTGGTGAATTTTCAAGGGGTCATTTTGTAAATATATCAATCTCCCCGACTTGTTAAGTTAAAATACACATTTAAATCATGCAAGAATTAATATTTGTGAAATATCATCTATTATACACAGGAAACAGCAACTATGACAGTGTGCGAAATAGCTACTGGCCCGCTATTCCGTGACTGGTTAAAATCCAGTCAGGCCAGTAAATCTCAACCGTCACTGGCCCGACTGCTAATGAATTTTCATGGGGTCATTTCGTAAATATATCACTCTCTCCGACGTGTAAAGTTATAACACACTTTTAAATCATGCAAGATTATGGTATGATAAAAATGACCCTCATATTTGCAGCTTAATGATGAAACCCGTGTCTACATTCAAATTTCGGACTAGTGAATTATTTTGTGAGCTAGTAACTTTCAGGCATAGCATGCCCGACCGGCTTGCAAAATTTGGAAACTATTTCGCACACATTCGACTTACCTCCAATAAAACACGGACTTGTATCTTGGCTGACTTTGACATATATTCATTAACCAGTCTCCAAGGTTACAAACATGTTGGACACATATATAATCGTTAGAGGGGACTAATGGGAACGGTTAATCAGGCTCGCTGACTCGGCCGAAACATATCCTCGTATTGCATGTGCAAAAAGCGATGCACAGGGTATCAATCACTTGATTGTCTGGTCCAGACTCTATTATTTGCAGACCGCCGTCATATACATGTACATGTCGAGTGCAGCGTTAGACATCCAGCAGACAAGCAAATATACACACACACACACATATGTGGAAATAAGAGGGGTGGTGGTGGAATTGGGTTTAACGTCGTGCTTGAGAATATTTCGCTCATATGACAACGTGCATGCGTGTGTATGTGTATGTGCGGCTGCTTGTACTAGCCCAGACTGAAGCTGGTTTTATAGTGCTAGCCCACTGAGATACC